GGAATTCTTATGCCCGTTGCTTTCTTCTCACAACGGCTTCAACCACCACACCTCAAGTACAGCGCCTTTGATCGAGAACTCCTGGCCATATACCTGGCTGTCAAACATTTCCAGCACTTCCTCGAGGCCCGTCAGTTCACCATCTTCACTGATCACAAGCCCCTCGTCCACGCCTTCGCTTCAGCTTCCCAGTCACATACACCTCGTGTCCTGCGCCACTTGGCTTACATCTCAGAGTTCTCCAGTGACGTCCAACACATTAGAGGCAGCCACAACGAGATCGCCGACGCCCTCTCTCGTTGCGTATCCAACATTCTTCCCTCATCTCCACCCATTGACTATGGGCAGCTAGCCGCGGCTCAAGAGAAGGACGAAGAGCTGGCAAAATACAAGTCATCCCCCTCAAGCCTCACACTCCAAGAACTCCCTGTTCCTGGCACAAAGACAAAATTGTGGTGCGACATATCCTGTGGGCATCCTAGACCGTTCGTGCCTCATGTCCACCGCCGCGCGGTGTTCGACCGCATCCATGGTCTCAGCCACCCGGGTGGGCGGGCCTCCCAGCGCCTCCTCACTCAACGTGTCGTCTGGCCCGGCATCAAGTCCGATACTAAGAAATGGGCTGCCCAGTGCTTGGCCTGCCAATCCTCCAAAGTACATCGTCACATACGGGCCCCCTTACATACCTTCCCTATTCCCAAAGGACGTTTTCAAGTAGTACACCTCGACATCGTGGGACCTCTTCCATCATCCTACGGCAGCACCTACATCTTCACCTGCATCGACCGTTTCACCAGGTGGACAGAAGCAATTCCCATGCCCAATGCTACAGCAGAGACTACTGCCCGCGCCTTCATGTCCGGTTGGGTTTCCCGTTTCGGCCCCCCCCCGCAACCGTAATCACTGACCGAGGAGTCCAGTTTGAGTCACAACTCTGGCAGCACCTCCTACAGTTCCTCGGCACGTCTAGACAACGCACTACAGCATACCACCCTCAAGCCAACGGCATGGTAGAGCGTTTTCACCGGCAGCTAAAGGACGCACTCAAGGCACAGCACGACCCTTACAGCTGGACTGATGCGCTCCCCTTAGTGCTCCTCGGCATCCGTGCGTCACACAAGGAGGATATGGACTGTAGCCCAGCAGATCTTACACTAGGCGAGCCCCTTCGGCTACCTGGGGATTTCTCACTCCCTCCTAACCCTCACCAAACCACTCCAGCCGCTCGTCACGACTTACTCCAAAAGCTACGACAAGCAGTTTCTGCATTCAGAGCTACTACTCCACGCCAGCCTCCTCGGCGCCCTGAATACATCCCTCCTGCACTACTCACAGCCGAGTATGTTTTCGTCAGGCGTGATGCTCATCGCAACCCATTACAACGTCCCTACGATGGACCCTTCCAGGTGGTTACCCGTTCAGCAAAGTTCCTGACGATTATCCGGAATGGCAGACATGACACCGTCAGCATAGACCGAGTCAAACCGGCCACCTTACCCTTTGGGCCCCCAGTCCAGCAGCACCATCAACAAACTACGCCTGCACCAGTCTACCCGCAGTTACCACCGGCAGCAACACCACGCCCACGACATTTCTGGGCACCCTCTTTTCACCCTCAAGTAAACCCTGTTCCTGCTGTAGAACCTGCTCCTGGCATAGACCTTCCTCATATCATAGAACCTGCTCCTGCCATGGACCCTCCTCCTGACATAGAACCTGCACCTATCATAGAACCTGTACCTATCATAGACCCTCCTCCTGTCATAGAACCTGAACCTGCATTAGACCTCCCTCCTAACATAGAACCTGCTCCTGCCATGGACCCTCCTCCTGACATACAACCTGCACCTATCGTAGAACCTGCTCCTGCCATGGACCCTCCTCCTGACGCAGCCCCTGCAGCAGCAGGAGCACAACAACCACTGCTTGTACAACCTCCTCTAATCCCAAACCCTCTTTCTCCTCCTAATTCTCCCACAGGTTTTGTGTCACTGGAGGGAGTTGTTACACGTAGCGGCCGAGTCGTACATACACCTGCCCGGTATGTGTTATGTGTGGGACACAACCCGGACAACATCCAGCCTCCCGCCGCGCCGGGAGGGGAGGGGGAGTATTGTAGTGGCTACTCTCCCCTACAACTCCCAACTGAGCTCCGGCCGCACTCCGACCAGCCAATCAGCGTACAGCCAGCTACGCCGAGAGACTAGGTCTATGCAGAGGACGTAGGGGTACGATCGCCGACCTAGTCTCGACCATCAACCTCCAGTTCAGGATCAGAGCGTTTCACACCTTACGCTTGAGCCGCTGTGATTGGTCCGCTCGCTACGCGCAGCCCAGATCCTGATCCTGGTAAATTGTATAAATACGGCTACGCCTGCCCAGGGAGATCACACACACACTCTCTCTCCCTCACCATGAACGGATACGAGTTTGTTAACGTGGCGCGGATACGTCCGGACACGCCGACCTGCCCCAAGAAACTAAACCTCCTAGTTCTCCAGAAGTTTTTCGAAGCTAATGGGATCGTGGGGGTCACCAAGGTAGAACGCCTAAAGCTCCATGGTGACATCAAGATCACCTTCGCCGAGATGGGCATGCCCGCTCAACTCGCGGAGATCCCAGACATCAACGGCATTCCTTTTAAAATGTTTGCCTTCATGTGGGACAACTTGAAGCTGGGTGTAATCTCCCACGCCGAAATTGCCCACATGGACAAAGCAGAGCTGAGTGAGCTCCTCAAGGAGCAGCAGCTCCAAGTTGTGAAGAAGCTGTCCGACACCACTGCCCTCATCGGACACCACTCCACCCTACCCAAGGAAGCTCAACTGGCGTGGGTAACTATGCCAGTCAAGCCCTACTGCAGACCGAAACGGTGTTACAAATGCCAGCACTATGGACACACTGTAAACAAGTGTGAGGCGCAGGAAGACACCTGCTCCATGTGTGGCAGCCCTGGACACCGCTACACGGCCTGCCCCAACACAGAGAAAAAATGCGTTGCCTGTGGTGGCCCACACTCCTCCGCCGACCGGACCTGCCCCAGATGGAAGGAGGAATGCAGGGTAGCCAAGGCTCGTCTTGAGAAAAAACTGAGCTACAAAGAGGCCCTCCTTGCTGTACGCTCCCAAGAAAAGAAAAAACCAGCAGTAAAGAAAAACCAAGAAAAGAAAACTCAACAGAAGCAGCCCACCACACAGAACCAAGAACACCACGTGGCCCGTGGTGCTGAAGCCCACGCGGCCAGTGGTGCTGAAGCCCACGTGGTCAACCTCTCCCTCTCTGAATTCTTCCACACCTATGAGGACTTAAAATACGAGGAAGACGAACAAGAAGACCCAAACACAAACGAATGGACAATTCAAGAGAGCAAGAAGAGAAGGAGAGAGAGAAGAAAATCGACATCAAGCTAAGAAGACCAAGACATCCCCTCCACACAAGAAACCAAAACACAATCAAGCCGACCAAGCACTGAACATCCATTGCCCAACCCAACACGCACCTGACGACCTGACCTGACGCCTGACCTGACGCTTGACCTGACGCTAGCCTGGCCTTGTCTTGTCGCCTCCCTGCCGCGTCCAGCCGGGTTGTTGCTGCTGCCCCCATCTTATAATCCCTCACGCAAGCGGTGTTTAGCCACTGCATCTGTTCTCTCCTCCTAAAATTCACTTCAATCCTCCCTTTATTCTTCTCCTGAACCTCCTTCCCCCCTGTCACTAGCATTTTTTCGTTTCGATTCCAGGGAGATCATCCTACACTCAGCAACTGGACCAGCAACATCTCTCTCAGCTCCTCACCTACTCACTCCTAAGTACTGCACTGTACCACAATATATACAGGAAGCACATCGTGAGTTTCTATCCAACCTCATTCCTGAGTGAAGGTATCTACATGTACGTACGTTTGTGTGCCCATACAAAGAGATAATAGACAACTAAAGAGAATTGACAACTGGCCACAAACGGTACACTACAACACCTCACAGATACTGACTTCTCTCCGTCAGGTATTAACGCACAGCATCCCTCGCAGGTACTGACTGTCTCCGTCAGGTGTTAACGCACACCACACCTCACAAGTACTGACTGAACCCGAACCTGACCCACACAGGCTTGCCCTCACCAGTTTCAGTCGCCAGGATGAACCACCAACTGGGCACCCAAACTACCGTCTAGGTGGTTCCCCTTTTGAGATATTTATGACGTTTGCTTTATGATATATTTAAATGTACCGTATATGTTGTAGTACAGCCTCAAGGTAGTAGTTGAGTGTGACCGGCAGAGTTTATTAGAGGAAGAAGGACAGCAGACACGAGAGGGGCACCACCGTAAGTGATGAGTCATCTTTTTGAGTAAACACCCACCAAGGTTTCATCACTCACTTTTTTTCACTTCGTTCACCTTAAGTCACCAACGAGTCAATGAGTTTCAGTATAAATTGGTGTAATTCAGTAATATTTAATTGACAATATTATGTTTTTACACTTTCTTTACTTATTACTTGTTGTCATATTAAATAGAGAGACAAGTAACTTAATTATCTCATAATCATAATTCGTTGCTTATATTTGTTCTGTTTTCGTCCAATTCCACAATATTTGGGCATTTCGTTTTTCTAATATTCTGTATCACAGGAGGGAGGGAGGGAAGTAAGGAGGGAGGGAGGGAGGGAGGGGAACGCGCTAGTCTTTCCCTGACCACTCCACCGTGTGTATTTTAATTACACCAAGAATGAAAAAAAACAGGCACATCCTTTGTTGACAGTTCGGCTTTCTTGGAACTTTATTTATTTGGCTGAATGATATCACGTTCTCCTGCCTTCCATTATCCTGCCACATCACCACACTCCACAGCCCTCACACCCCACAACCCTCACACTTTACAACCCTTACACCTCACAACCCTCACACCTGATAACCCTCACACCTCATAACCATCACCCCCTCACACCTCACAACCCTCTCTCACACCCCACACGAATGAACAATAAAATACGGGGGAATTTATGTAGAAAAATATTTATTACAACTGTAAGCATATGTACAAAAAATTACAAATATTTTGATATGTACACAGATATGTGATGAACATGAAAATGAACAAGTGATATGACACATGCAAGACCTCCCTACATACACTATATACATGGCAAGGCTATGCCGTCAGCAACAGCATGCACACACAGTAAAGTCTACGAAATGCATTACCTGCCACCATAGGCCGCAAGACCAATAGAATTTTAGTCATAAGTACTTCTCTATATATTTAACGACAAATTTCATCCCGCTATTTCCTTAACAAATATTTATTGTCTTTCTTTATTTTTTCCATCCAAGGTTAAATATTGTCAATATTTTCAGTCTGATTATATTAAAGATTAAAACCAAATGTTGTGCAAGTCTATTCCATCGAAAAAAGAATATGCACACAACTCCACGTAGGAATAAATTTAGAAGATAGAATGTACTGTTGGTATAATTTCTTCCCTTTTGAGAACACCATTAATGGCTACACAATACAACATTATCTGTCTATTCATCATCCTATAAATACTGTGTTTACCTCAAAATATCATACAGAAGACTTTTTCCCTAAAACCCAAAGTCGGAGATCAGCTGATGTAAGAGTTCTCTATCTCCAGCCAAACTCACTCTCTCTACACACGGTCAGATCATCTAAGTAAACAATCTGTACACACCAACGCTCTGATGGGCTAATGGTAACAATCAGGAAGACTGGGGGATGGGGATTGAGGATTGATTGTTAGCACATGGATGAGACGCACATCAATCCATTCAGAACGCAAGAGTTTCTGGAGGAATAAAAATAAGCTTAGAAAATTCGGAGATGGATATTCTAGTCTCTTTAAAAAATATTATCCAGAGGTTTTATATATATATTTATATATATAAGTGTTACTGGCGATAAATCACATCCAAAAAGAGGAAGAAAAATTACACTGAGGTACTATATGTATGTATGTATGTATATATATATTTATATATATTTATATGTAATAAAAATGTGTTATATCAGTCATGCCGAAAATCTTTCCAGGAAATCGAGTGTTTTTTGTTTTTTTAGGAATCAAGATACAAACATCTTATGAATCATCTGTTTTAAAGATATGTTAAGACTTTCTTTGGTCAACTTTCAGTGTTTTAGTCGTCTTGAAACGCTACTACGCCAGCAGCTGTTCTACGTATCTGTATGATAACCACAGATATACGCACACACACACACACACGCACACACACACACACACCAAGCATATCAAAATATAACGCTGAAGCACGCCGTCGTGTATGGTGAGTTCCCTATATAGACATTATGTTAAAACCGCTAAAAGTCAGCCACAGGCTTTACCTAACCCGGCCCGCGCGACACCGAGCTGTAAGACACCAGAATAAGATTATATTTCATACAGACTATAATAGTTTACTCGCGTCCCTCGGCTGAAGGAACTGTTTACAAAAATGGCAACAACAACAACAACAACAACACGCAGGAGTGACGCACCGCACAGGGAAGCAACAGCTCACGGACTCATTTATACCCTCAGAGAAAATCCTCTTATTCTCTCTTTTTTGGACTGTTTTACTTACGATTTTATGTGTTACTCTTTTGAAGGAATTAATGGAAAAAAATGGACATCTTAGCAGGCATCTTCTGCTTCTCTTACATTTTTCTTCCGACATGATAAACGTAATGACCTCATTTTGTTTTACATAGAAAATATGACGAGTAAAATTTAACTTTGATGATTACCTTTCATATCCCTGAGCCTTTATTAACATTCTATAATATAATAAAAATGTAAACAGTTTTCAGGGTAACGAACAACAGGTTTTTCTTCATTATAGTTGGCTACACTGCAGCCCACGACACGCACAACCTTCGCTCTTATTCTCTATATACACTAAGCTGATCCCACTCACTTGAATACTAAAAAGGGGTCGTATAAAACACATTCCTATGGTACTTCAGTCCCCAATGTAATCACGTATTGGAAATGTATTGGCTTTACAATTATCATCCTTATTCTCGTAGCTTACAAGGACTACTCTTGTATTTCCTGGCTCTCTTTTTCTCCCAACCAGAGTCTCCAAGACTGTCAACTCCACCAACTCGTAATCTCTCTTAATAGTTTTATTTTCCTATACTATCTCTCCACGTGTAGCCAAGCACGAGAGACGCATAGTCCAATAATACTGGGCGTGAAAGGGAAATGGTTGACAGAATATAAGATGAACCACCACAAACACTAGAGCTATATCGTAACAGATGCACGAGAAGGAGGATTTACACTACCTGAATTAAAAAATATTTTCAACATCATCATTATGATATAAAGTAAGATTTCTGGGCCACATATAATGTTTTTTTTTTATACATGAAAAATATCACTTTAGGATTTGACGAGTTTCTTCTGTCAAGTTTAACGACTGTATAAAGTTTGTGGAGAAAAGAGAACAGCAGTTTTCATAAACTCTAGAAAACCTTTTACATTTTGTTACATCAACTTAATCTTACGACTATTGCACCACGGTAGGAACACGCCTCTGATGTTGATCTTGCAGGGGAAGGCTCGCAGAGGTGTGTGTGGTGTGTGTCGCCTTGCAGCGCCACCCACCACCACCCACCTGTGATAACGTGGTGTAGATGCTGCTTTTTACTTGACATATACATAAAAAAAAACATGACTACACAGCTTGCAGATACAATGCTTCATCTGTTTTTTTAACCTCATATATACAACACATAAGGACGTTATCAACACATTAGCTCTATGTTTTAAGCTTCCACACTGCATGTCTTTTATGTAGGGTTTCCATCAGAGGTTTACGCTATCAATAATTATAACAATACGTAGGGCGGTGCTGGGTCGCCGAGGATCAGACGTGTGTGGCCAGAGCACCTTGCATGACTTGGGTCCTGGGCGGCACGATATACTGACTGGGGTCGACAGGTATCCCTAGTCTGGGGATGGTGGAGGTGGCGTTACCCGCTACCGACCCGTTCCCTCTGGAGTTGACGTGTAGTGACAGCGGCAGTGACCCAGACGAGGTCTTGAAGTTGTGATTGGCGAAGCCGTTGTTGTAGCCAGGAGAGAAGCCATGCACTCCGTCAGGGGCATCGTGTCCCCCGTCGTAGTCCCCGTAGCCAGGATAGAGGGAGTGCTGGCTGGAGGTGACGATGCCCGGGGGCGTATGTGTGTAACTCCCCACGCCTCCCGCGCTGCTGACATTTCCACCCATGACGTAACCCCCCGAGGGAGAAGAAGGCTGTTGTTGTTGTTGCTGTTGTTGTTGTTGCTGCTGTTGTTGTTGTTGTTGTTGTTGTTGTTGGCCCGTGGCCACTGTCGAGTGATCAGCGTAGTTGCCATAAGACAGCCCGCCTCCGTTACTGGTGAGGTGACCATTCTGTGGGAGGAGAACTGACTGTATTACCAACATTCAGTTAGGAATATTACCACACATATATCCAGACAAATCCATTCATGGATGTAAAAGACTACTTAAAATACACTTTAATTATATCTATATTGCGATAATCTCAAAGACATCCACGTTAACCAACACTAACAGAAAATCACAACTAATTCTAGTATTTTTCCCACGAGCAACAGAAACTCGAGACTCAAACAGGAACTACTTACAATTTTAAGAGGGATGCCGGTGAAGGTTTCTGGGTACAGGTAGGAGTTGGTGGAGGCCATGTAGGTGGGGGTAGCCGGGTGCTCCCCCTCCTTCTCCCCCCATCCCTCCAGCTCGCCCTCCTTGTTACTCATGGAGGAGCCAGTCCTCTGGTCCAGTTCAACCTGTTGGTGGTGAGGACGGTCGTTAAAACTCCATTCAATAATTCTCTGTCATTATCGACTAAGATTAAGATTTATTTATTTCGTTATGTCGTGTAGCCTCAGTCCAGGACCCTCCCCTGACGCATCAACAGTTCTGTATTCTGTTAGACTCATCATTCGTGTGTATACCGTCCATATGGCAACACTAAGATGACCTGTTTGTTTTATTCTCCTGCTTAACATCGTCTCTCCAATAAATCTGTGTAAAAAATGTCTATATCGCTGCTGTACATCCACATATATTCCTTTAGATGTCATCTTATCTATCAAATAACACTCTTGACACTCAGACATAAACACTGGTATACACTCAGGCCACCGTGCACACAACACTCAGTCACACAGCCCTACACTGAGAGCCTCAACAGTCACCCACCTTGAGGTCAGACTCGTTAGCTGTGGAGTTTTGGTCATTCATCTGCAAGGCGACCGTCTTTTCCGGTAACCCTCCCGTCTTGGCGTCTGTAAGGAAGTGTCACAATATGATCACACTCTCTTCATTCATTATACGGACTTATTGACTAACAAACACACATTTATTACCAGCAAATGCAAGGTAAGAATTAATTATCCAGTGTCCTTTTTATTCAAGAACCCTAAATAATTACTACTGTATATTTTAGGATGTGCAATGAACTGCATTTAAGAATCAATAGGAAAAAGTCTGATTTTTTTGGTTCCTGTTTATAGCACGTTCTAAAATATAGTAATCAAGGCTGAATTGGTTCGTTCTGACTGATTAAAATGTTACTATGGATTTCATTGTCTTCATTGGCTAAATCACTATAATTATTAATTTTTTTTTAATGAAGTGAAGTGCAGGTATAGTGGCGTGATCTCACAGTTTATCGAGCCTAAACACAGGAGAGATGAGGAAATATTAGTGTGTTGAAGAGCTGCTGTGTCGTGTTGTTAACTATTGGTGTTGTTATAAAGTGATGCAAGTCAGAGCTGGAATGTGTAAACAACCCGGGAAGCAATAGACCTGGAGATGGTTGTTTTGATCACTTAATTACATATAGTACATGGAAGGCTGCACCTGCTTACTGCCTAACATAACGTAACGTAACCTAACGTAACCTAACCTAACCTATAACCCAACCATAACTAAACTCACATTGATCGCTGACTACCAAGTCCGTTCTAAATACAAACACATTTCTTTATAACTTAATGGAAAGCGAATTACTGTGTATGAATCTATGTATTCATGAATTGAAATAAATTACTAATTACTTAATGGAGAGTTAATTAGTATGTCTGAATCCCAAACTCGACGTCGTAAATTAATAATGAGAAGAGCATCAACGTAAAGTGAGGTAATATCTGTTAACCAGCCATCATCTACTAACTCACTATTATTACATCAGATAAACGGTCAGGCACACCAAACACTCAGGTTTGTATTTTTGGTAAAGTCTTATTTTTGGAATACATATTGATTTTTCATATTTCGTTATAATATATGAATTCATTGAACAACGTTCACTAGCTACTAAGCTATCACATACAAAATATCCCATAACATGACAGATACTATCAGATGTCGAGGGAATTTTGGCAGCAACTGTACAGTCAACAAAAATGTTTTCTGCTCGCCTGGGTCTGTCGGTCTTCTCAACGATCACTCACTGAGGCCATGTTCATTTGGTAAGGTTGGTACGTCAGATTTTGTAACCTATACGATGTATTCTGTAAATCACGTATAGTTAATACAGAGTAATTAGCAAGAATACATTATAAAACCCGTACGAACACCATGTTGTTCAGAATGCTTGGTCCGGTGTGTCATATTGCATAACATCATAAAGGTGCAGGAATTTTGGTGTTGTTCACTGTACATGTATGAACATTACGATTCATGGATCATAATAAATTAGTCACCAAAAATAATTCTTCAACAAAAAAATAATTACATGAAACTATTTAATTCGTACAATATTTAGACAATAATTTGACCCCATTAAGAACGAAACATGATTTAGGAGACAGAGAAGTAGTGATAACCAGACATAATTAACGCTTACGACACGACGAGAATAGTACTTCATATATGTGTCAGCAGTAAAAGAAAATTAGAAACCACTCCCTCAAAGACTCGCCTGAAAATATAATCACACACGTGTAATTTACTCCAAACTATGAGTGACGACCAGGTAAGACGGGCGGGAGGGGCGCCTGACGTGTGTGTGTCTGACTGTTTCCCTGTAGAGGTTTGTGAGTATTACCAGTGTGAAATAGAGGAAATATATATATATATATATTGCATAGTCATATAGATAGATAAAATATTAGATAAATAAACATTCCTAAAGATAGAACTGTGCATAAACATCTGAACAGATAGACGGATAA